CAGCGCCGGGTCCGTGGGGCCCCGTGGGGGCCCCCCGCCGCCGCTGCTGCCGGGGCCCTCCTCGAACTCCTCCTCCAGGCTCACCAGGGGTGCCTCCATCCTCGCCACCACCCGTGTCTCCGCCTTAGCTGCCAGGAGAGGGGCCCTGTGAGGCTCATGGGGCTCCCTGGCCCCCAGGAACCAATAATAACCTAGTAATAACCTGGTAATGACCTGATAGCAACCTAGTAGTGACCTGGTAGTAACCTAGCAGTGACCTGGTAGTAACCTAATGATAACCTGGTAATAAACTGGTAGTAACCAATAGTACCTCACCACTGCCCTTGGAGCATCCTAGCAGCGTTGTGAATACACCCTGAGAGCCACTCCTGTTGTCCTGCTACTATACTAGCAGCATCTTAGTAGTAGCCTGATAGTACTAATACACTCCTTGCATCCCAAAAGCACCAGAGTGTTGCCCTGAGGGGGGCCCAAAAACATCTAAACACCATCATTTTTAGTGTCAGGCCAGTGTCTGAGTAGCATCTTAGCAGGGTGCCAGCAGTTTCCTAGTGGTGGCCGGATAGTTATCAGCAACGAGCTGCTAGCATCCTCACAGTATCTTAGCACTCCTCTAAGAGCATCGCAAAAAACTCTGAACACCATTTCTTCTAGTGTCCTGGTAGTGTCTTAGCAGTATCTTCACAGCATGCTGGAAGTGTCTTGCTAGAACCAGCAGCATCCGAGTAGCATGCTAAGAGAATCGTTGTGCTACAGCAACAGCATCTGCAAAGTGGAGCTCTTTCCAGTGCACTGGTATCTTAGGGGTATTCGGACAGTAACCTGAGGGTACCCGGACAGTATCTTAGGGGTATCCTGATATTGTTCTAAGGGCATCCTGAGAGTATCTAAGGAGTATCCCAACAGTGTCTCAGGAGTATCCTGATAGCACCTTAGGAGTACCCCAAAAGCAACCTAGGAGTATCCTGATAGTATCTTAGGAGTATCACGAGAGTAACCTAGCAGTATCATTATAGTATCGTAGGGGTATCCTGAGAGTATCCCGAGCATCTCAGTAGTAACCCGGGAGTAACCCCATAATAAGTCACCTCTCTGCTAGGAAGCGTGTTGCTACCCCAGACCACCCCAGGCCTGGTCCTGCTGCCACCAGGGCTGGGGGTGACTACACTCAGCTTTTAGGGGAAAACCTAGCCAGATGAGGAAAACTGTTGTTGCTGCCTTTTTTTTTCTTGGATGGGGGGGAGGTGCCACAACGCCACCGCTGTGCGCCCACCTTCGCGTTACGCTGGTGGGGGTTAAGTGCAATAGGGCACCCTCAAGCAAGCCTGGCACAAACCCCATGCAAGCCCCATGCAAGCCATGTACAAGCCCCGTGCAACCTCCCTGCAAGCCCATGCCACCCCTGTGCAAGTCTTATGCAACTGCTGTGCAAGCCCAGTGCAACCCCTTTGCAAGCCTGGTGCAAACCCCACGTAAACCCTGTGCAAACCTAGTGTGATTCTGTGTAAACCCGGTGCAAGCCCCACATGACCCCTGTGCAAGCACAGTGCAACCCCCCCACCCCACCCCACCCCTGCCAGCCGCGGCGCAGCAGCGGGACCCTCGCAGGCTCTGCTGAGTCATCTGCAGAGGCATAGCAGCACAGGGCTGTGCAGGGTGCACATACACGTGCACCAGCGCAGGCTCCAATGCAAGCATCACCTCCCCAGTGTGCACCTCTGCACGCCGTGCACCATGCAGCTGCATACAGGCACGCACCACTACCTGGGTGCACTGGGCATGCATGCAGCACAGACACGTGCATGCACCCTCGCACGTCTGCACTGCACAGGCATGCACCCCCACCCGGGTGCATTTGAACACGTGCACCCCAGCGCAGGCATGCACGCGCCCCCCACACGAGTGCATGCGTTCACCCCGTGCATGCATGACTCCCCACACACATGCACCAACACACATGTGCTCCGCACATGCATGCACCTGTGCCCTCATGCATGCAAGCCAAACGTGCACACTATGCATGCACGCACACACCCCATGCATGCATCACTCCCCCCACCCCGTGCACGTGTGCACCTCCGCACCACTGCACCGGCAGATGTGCACCCCATGCGTGCATGCGCCCCCGCTCTCGCGCACCCCCGTGCACCACCCCCGTGCATGCATGCAGCCCCGTGCACGCACGCACCCAAGGTCTGCACCACCTGATGCGTATCCCCCCCGAAAGTCCCTTG